TAGTCAACATTCAATCCATTTAGCAGGTTGTATTAATGGGAAAAAAAATATATAATTTTTGACATACATATTGAGAATTGTCTAGCTAATTTTCTTCTTCATAAATTTCAATAATAATTGATTTTTGAGTATCTTTAAACATAAAAAAAAACAAGAAAAAAAAAAACCTATATTATGAGTTAAAGAAAAGAGAAAAGAAAAATATCTTTTTAATACCTTCTTTTTTAATCCATGTAATTAATGGCAATGGCTTGCCTTGTGCTCCACACGATAACGTGACATTTTTACCTATTTGAGTACGATAAGTAGTTGTAGAACTATAATCATTTGTAATGAAACGTGGATGTTCTTAAAAAAGAAATAAGAAAAAAAAAAAGAAAAATTAAATTATATTATAGAGGATAAGAATATAGAAGAAAAACATCTGTTTATCAAATGAGAGAGGATGGAGATCAATTAATTTTAGCGTTATAGATATATATATATATATATAATCAATGAGGACGAAGTGAGTCATGTATAAAAAAATGGAAAAAGTATGAAAAGAGAACGGTGTTTGGACTGAATGGAGAATGGAGTGCGAATTATTCAATTTTTATGTTGTTTAGAGAACGGTTTTCGAATTTTATTTGCAGATGACTGAAAAGAGAACGGTTGTGAAACGTATTTTTTTCACTGTATTTCTACAGCTCTAAACTAGAATTTTTCATACACATACTTCTACGTATTTATACATTGATACGTAAACAGTAAAAGAACCCCCATATTTTGAGGTCGAATCTAGTCTTGCTCCACTTTTTTGAATATTATATATATTTGCACTTTTTTGTACAATATTTTCTTTTGCAAATAATGCAAGATATATCCTTAGATCATAATTCACTATTCGAACATATAATCGTTCTCTTTTCAGTCTGTTAAACTCGGGATTCTGAACCGTTCTCTTTTCAGCACTAACTCCATTCTCTTTTCGACTTTTTCGTTTTATAATTCTGATCGTTCTCTAATCATTCCAAATTTGACCATAAATAGGCAACCATTCTCAAAAAAAAAATCTTTGTCCATGAAAAATCATTCTAAAATCTCATCGAGTAACTATTTCTACAGAGTCTATTTATTTTTATCTTCATATTGTATTCAAAGAGCGTATACTCAAATATGAAATCCGGAAAATCGTATAGAACAATCATTATTCATACTATATGAACATATTCTAATAAAGAATTTGATATAAAAAATAGTCTACATCGGAATTTATAATATTTTCAAATTTATCACGATTCATAGATTGAGAGCTATTTTTGTACTTTTTCCAAAAATCTCATTATTTATACCTGAGTGCTGAGCTAAATTAGCGATTCTTCTTCGTTTTTATTCTAGTGAAATTTTTTATCAACATTCTTCTACTAAAACATTTACTGAACAATACATATTTTATATAACTTCTTTTAATATGTATTGTGAGAAGAAAAAAAAAGAAAAGGAAAACGTCGAATATCCTCTCACTTCACTTTCGTTAAAGGTAAATGCTTTTATAAGACTTAGAGAATAGTAGTAGTTCCTTTCATTCTTTTCATCTTTTATTCTTATTCAAAAAGCCACTTGAATAAAAGAAAAGAAGAGAGTGACAGTCATCATTAAAACAAGTCGTCGCCACACACATATATATATAAGATATATATACATATATATATATATAAGAAATGAAATAGGGGAATAATAAAGGAAGATAACAATCAGCTCGGAAGAAGTATGACATGTTTTAAAACAAAGACCTCTATATTACATCATTTTTATACAAGTGTAATAAAATAATATATCTGTAGATATATGATTGTCTATTTTCATTTGTAATGTTTACTTACTTACCAACAACATTCAATTGATATAATTTTATTATATGATTATCAACTTGGCAAGAATAATTGCCTTCATCCGAATGATTTACATCATCGATTGTTAAAGTATATGTAATGACTTCGTGAACTTGATTTTGTTGTTGATTAAACTTAGATAAAGATGTTGATGGTGGTGATAAAATTTTTATACCAGCACGTTTTTCAACTTGAAAACGATGATCAGAATTTATACGACTCAAACTATAAAAAAATACTTCGGCATCTTCAATACGAAGCCAAAGACCCTAGAAGAAGAAGAAGAAGAAGAAGAAAGACAATGAGAGATAATTTTTTCATTAGAAAAATGAATATATTGAAGTTATATACAAATGTTTGCAGGTAGTTTTAAATTGAATTTTTTTTTTCTTTTTATCGTTATTGTTTCTACTTAAATATATGAGTCATAAAATTAGTATCGAGAACAAACGTCTTTTAGCATGTAATCTATAATTACGGTAAAATTTCTTTTTATACTTAGAAAAAAAGATGATTGTGCGTACACATTTTTATTGAACATATAAGTTGATGAAAATTGAATGTCAATGTTCATTTATGATTAAAGTGGCATGATACAGGGTATTTACAGGGTTAATTTTACTTTCTCATTCTTTTCTATTCAGCAGGTGAATAGCAGTCAGTTGTCACGAATAATTATATTTAAAATGTCATAGAAATGAAATGAAATAGAACATTTGTTTAGAGACTATTGCGTCTGACATATATCAAAAAATATGTTAAAGATCATCATAAATTAAAGATGATGAATAGTAGTAAGATATATCACCAAATTACATACTTCCATATTTGTTAAATTTTCTAATTCACATTCAAATCGAACACGTTTTCCAACATTAATTGTTACAGTTTCTTTTAAATAAGAAGATGATTTTATATCACTATTTTCATGTAATAATGTTGTTGAATTTTGTTGTTGTTGTTGTTCTTCATTTTTAATAATTTTTACCAATATGGTAGATGATAATAAGGATGTTATCATGATAGATTTAATAAATAAAATCATCTTTTTAATTGTAGTTGTAATTGTTGCTGTTTTTGTTGTTGTTGTTGAATTATTTGTTGCAGTTGATTATCAAATAACAACTGCCACATTGTTTAATTTTAATATGAAATTAATTTATATAAAATAATTAATGACCAAAACATTATTAAACTCATTAGAGTCATTGCATCTAAAAATGATAAGAGTAAAAAGTAATAATACTATGATAAATAAAAATAAAATAAAAGAATGTGTTTTTAACTATTTTTTCATATAATATAGTAGAATATCTACAAATAATATTTAAAAATGATTCTATGTTTAAAATTTATTTTATTTTTCTAATATAGAATGACTTTTTAAAAATGTTTGAATAATATGCCTAAATTTATATTAGACAAAAAAAGAAAACCTATTAGTTGAGCAATAAAATTAAAAATATAATAGGTATTAAAATTTTATTATACATAATTATATGATGTAATAATAATAATAATAATAATGTTCATCCTTCGAGGTAAACTAAACAAAAGTTTTATTCACATTGTTACCCATCCTTTTTATAACACTCTTTCGTGTATGGATGTTTCTTATTTTGCCACAAGATACAGTTTCATATTTTAAAAAAAAATAAAAAGAAGAAAAACATAAAACCGAGAGACATAACATGCTCACAGATCAACAACGGTTGAACGAACATCTAGTAGTCTAAGTTCGGATTACAATTTTTCTTTTTTTATATGTTATATGAAAAAAAAAAAATTTTATTGAACCCTATGGTCATTTTAATTCTTCTTTTTTTTTTTTTAATCTTTAACTATACAGACAACTGGTATATAAAAAAAGAAGTGATTAGTGATTTTTCGAGCCATAAATATACAGAAAAAAAAAAAATCCACAAAGCTTTCTTTAGGAAAAAAAGAAAAATTTGCCCATGGAGAATAGGAAA